CCACCACCACCACCACCACCACCACCACCACCACCACCACCACCACCACCACCACCACCACCACCACCACCACCACCACCACCACCACCACCACCACCACCACCACCACCACCACCACCACCACCACCACCACCACCACCACCACCACCACCACCACCACCACCACCACCACCACCACCACCACCACCACCACCACCACCACCACCACCACCACCACCACCACCACCACCACCACCACCACCACCACCACCACCACCACCACCACCACCACCACCACCACCACCACCACCACCACCACCACCACCACCACCACCACCACCACCACCACCACCACCACCACCACCACCACCACCACCACCACCACCACCACCACCACCACCACCACCACCACCACCACCACCACCACCACCACCACCACCACCACCACCACCACCACCACCACCACCACCACCACCACCACCACCACCACCACCACCACCACCACCACCACCACCACCACCACCACCACCACCACCACCACCACCACCACCACCACCACCACCACCACCACCACCACCACCACCACCACCACCACCACCACCACCACCACCACCACCACCACCACCACCACCACGACCACCACCACTATCACCGTTACCACCATTACTACCATCATCATCACCACCACCCCTCTGTTCTCCCGACTGCTCGTGGCACTTCCGGTTATCAGCGACAGACTTCTTGCCGACTAATTTTCTCGCGTGACAAGGGCAGCATTTTGAATTTGTCGACCGTTAAGGCCCGATCGCGGAACACGTGCGTTGTTAAGGTTAAGAATGTATCACTTGAGGAAACCGCGAACGTAGAGCCACTCTACGATGTTCGGGCTTAGACCTCCGTGTACACGATTATGAAGAACGATCACGTAGATACTTTGTCGTGTGACAAGGAGCATACCGCTAAAGATACCGTTAGAACTAACTGTACTCCGTAGTTATAATTAATATATGTAATACAGCGGGGTATATTTTTGTACGTAGCGTGAACCAATGTCGCCGCGATCCTCGTTTGTACCGTATCAGAAAAACGCGAATTCGCGTGCGGATTGTGTCAAAAGGCGCGAATTAATTGTCAAGCGAATATCGTAACTTAGATCGGAGGTGCCTGTAGAAATTCGAATAATTAAATTCAATTGACGCGGGAGAAAATTGTGAGGCAGTCTGATTAGAAAAATGTCGAGGGCGAGAGAAAAAGAGAGTGAGAGAGAGAGAGAGAGAAAAAGAGAAAGAATTAAAGGGAAGAAGAATCGCCGATGGAGAACAGCGATGAAGGGAAGAGGTTCGCGACGACGCCTGGGTGAGGTAGTAGGTTGTATAGTAGGGAATGGAAATTCGCGAGATACGAAGTCCACTGTACAACTTGCTAACTTTCCCGGTCGTCGGCGCCGCGACGTCTTGCGACGCTACTGGCATGGGATCGGGATTTGTAGCCGTGGAGGAAAAGAATCTCCGAGAGCCGTCGAGAATCTGTGTTTGAATATACGTCGATCTTAGTGCGAGTGTCGTATGCGTGGTCTTCTCGAAATGCGAATATGTATGATAATACGACGCGTCTTTTCTAGGTGCCAATGTGTCCGCGAAATGAAACATCGAGAGACGATCCCCCTGTCGGTCTCCTGCGAGTAGGAAGACTCGAGTTGATCGTTCATCTCTCGATTGTAATTTGTGCAGAGAGCACTTTGTGCGGGAACACTCGCGTGCTTCCCTCTTTAGAGTATTCGCTCTTGCGATTGCATGTATATGTATAGTGAGGACAAGTATTTTTATTTTTTCATTGAATTTCATTGGCTCTTTCGTTTCTCGTTCTCCAAGCGCGTGATCTTGTTGGCCCGTTGAGTCTCGTTCGAATTAGAGATCTTGAGTAATGATCTTGTGATATGATAAATACAGTAAAAACGTAACTCGTCGAGATGGCAAGATTTATATTAGGTTGATGCAAAAGGTTTGTCGTGTTTGGCAAATAAAACAGCAAACGAGATTATGCAACTTCAAGGGATTGTTGCGAATAAAATTGACTTTGATCGACTCACTATTATTTCAGACTTCTAATGAGGACTTCCTGTTTTCCCTCTAATATCCAAACTTCCTACGAGAATAGTTTTTAACAGGAAAATAAATCTCTTGCACCAACCTAATAGTTTGTATTTTACAATTTGTTGGTACTTTCACTGTCTCTCCACCTCATTGCTCAAATCTGCTCAATTTTGGAACAGTAACTTGCAAGAAATTAATCAGAGGAGCGACGTAAGATTGCGTAGACAGAAAAAAATCAAATTTACACGAAATTCTCTTGTAAAAGAGAAAGAAAGGCAGAATGAAGAGAAAGGACGAGATGGAGAGAGAATGAAAGCGGTAAGCGTGGTAAAAAAAAATGAAAGAAAAAAGGGCAATGGCGGGCGGGCTGATTGTAAAGCCTGCCGCGTCGCCGGTTCCCTGAGACCCTAACTTGTGACGTCGCGACCGATATCTCACAGGCTAGATTCTCTGGTATTGGCGATGAGTGCTGCCTTTTGCCGATCAAAAGTCAGTCCTAACAACAGAGATACAAACGGCTACGACAACTTTTACCGCGGCGCATTCGCGTATTCCGCGTCTATTTTCGTTGTGCAATATGTCATACGATTGAAGAACGAGTGGCTTGCGTTACACTGCACTCATTGGCGAGCTACGCTTCACATTTAACCTGTGTGTGTGTAACTCTAAGAATCGAATGAGAGAGGCGTGAGGTTGCGTCTGTCTGTGTGATGAAGTGACAGTACTGTCAAAATCATTGTTCGCAAGATGCTCATATATTTACGTCATATAATTTCATCTCAGGTCAAGCTGAAGCGCCTTGTATCGTATATTCATTGGAAAAAAGAATGCAATTCTTTTTTTTTTTTTTCAATAGGTTTCGTCACATACTCGTATCCAATAAGATCTTTTTTCTTTTTTAGTAATTCTCAAAAGACAAGTTTTCTTGGATGCATTTTGAAATTTATCGAGAGGATTGCAAGCTTTTTTCCTGACTGTGTTATTGTTGTCCAATCTTAATTTTTATATAAATAATATATGACTATTCACAATTGACGTGTAAATAAAATTACAAGTACGCAGAAAATTTGTAAACCTTACCCCAGTTGTAAATCTATACCCAGTTCTGTTGATGTCAGTGTATGTAATAAAAATTACTCAAAAATCCATTGCTTAGAAAATACAATACAGAATAAGATTCTTTAAATAAGATTTCTTTAGTACAAATAAACGCACCTACATATAAAAAGATAGTGTTGATCATTTCCTTTTTACATGCTACACATATCTGTAGTGTAATATCAATTGCCGTACCATCATTTAAAATAACATTTTAAATCGTAATTTTATCGACAATGGTACGAACTAATATTTTGCAACACTACACGATATGTGTCATTTATTCAAATGCTTCATATTACAATATTATCATATCAAAGCGTATTTTATAAAATATTTATAGATTTTCGATACATACTTCAAATTCTGTTTTAACATATTTTTCCTATAAAAATATATGATTGTTGTGACTAAATGTTCCCTTACAGATTTAACGGTCTTTTCTTAACTATGTTTCTATATCATTATATAATGCAACATCTTTAAATCGATCTCACATAACGGTGAATTCAAGAAATAGTATAACAATGGATCAGCATTCGTCGTTGTCCAAAAGACTGTAATCAGAGACACCTACTCTAAAACATTTATATATGTACATACGTGAGTACTTATATGTACACAATATCGTATATATGCAATAAAGAAGGTGAATCTGTTTGTCTTAGAAAAACAGAAGACATGAAAAATTGTTAGTCTCTCTATACTGTATATGTACACATGTACCTAAATGTCGATGATATAATTGCCGGTGTGAAATAAATATGAAGTAGTCACTTATGTGTTTTCATTTTAAACACTTTCATACGATTAGACTTGCAAGTGTTAGAATACTTAATAAAGAGTGAATTCTACTAATTTATATTAAAATATATCTACGTAGTTGCATAAATATTATTTATATATTTAATTCATACGTTTAACTGCTTGTTGCTTATGTATGTTGATATGATGTTATTCTTAAAATATTCTCAAAGTGTGACGTACCTAAGTGCCCATTCAAACTCACAGGTAACAAAAAAGTTACGTCACGTAATGTTCAAAAGGCAAAAGAAATTGTCAGAAATAACTACTTTAATATACAAGCTTTCAAGTTATACCAATTTCCCATCGAGCACAATTATTCTCTCAAGAGTGTTCTCAAATTATTATATATTAAATAAAATGTTAAAATAGAAAATGTGTTATACCTAATTATTTGTTGAAGTTGCTGTGTCGAATAAAATGTTGAGAGAGCTATTTTATCAGTAACAGCTGTAGAAATATACGTAAGAATACGATTTTATCAAGTATACCTTCTCTCTTCCTCAACAAGTCTACTAAGCTCCGCGGCCGAGTAGCCCAGCAACTGCTTTAAGTCACAAACGAATTTATAGACAAATCGTTTACCATGAACTTTCGAGATCATGTCGCCGTCGTAATAATATCGAAGCGCCCTACTCAGTTTCTCATAATTCATCGACGGTTTGTTTTTGCGTGCTCCCCACAACTGGGCGACTGCTTCCGGCTGACTAAGCTTAAACTCTCCCTCGGTCCCGATCCACTGAATCGCATCTCTATGTTCTTTGTCCGTTAGTAATTCTAATAGAAACTGCCACAATTGTATTTGGCCATTGTTAACGGATCGATTGGAAGTGGCTAAAGTGAACGTAGTGGAGTCGGCGTTGTCGACTGGTATACCAACATGCGGTTGTTGGTCTACCGTCGTTCGCGATCTTGCCGCTTTTGGACTACGCACTTTCATGGGTTTCTCGATTTCGTTCTCGTCATCTGGCGCATCTTTTTGCATTACAGCTGCAAAAAAACAACAGTATTACTAGAATGAATAAATTTAGATATAATGAAAACAGTTTCTCATTTGTTTATCGATTTGTAATATAAAGGATTTCTTTTCAATAACATACCGACAAACTTGCATTTTTTGAGAAGTTCTAAATGCGTCCAAAATACATCTCCTGGGTCAAGAGGCACTTTAGCTTGGAAGTCTTTCAGTGTGAGGTTACATAGTTGCTCTCCAGTGATGTTCCAATCAGCCAATCGTAACGATACCAAATTGAATTGTCTAACAGCCCATTGCAGCCAATGTTTAACATGTGCCTCTGACCAATCTCTTGGGTCAGCTGGTATTTTTAAACGATCCTTATGAAGAAAGAAAACACGTGTATCTTTAAATGACATATATAAAAGTTTTGTTGGACAGAAAATGGAATATAAAATTTTCTACAAAACATCTTGATAATATATATTTTTTTACTATACTTTACCTGCTCTTTTTTGTAATGTGGATCTACCATCCATCTCATAATTTGCCGTTTCTTCTTCTTGGCAGGCAATGGTGCTGTTTTATATAAAAAAAACAAAAACATATTATTTACTAAGTCTAGAAAATCTTATATTTTTATTTGCAAAAATAATCTAAATTCAAACATACAATTAGTTTCCTCAAGTTCAATATAATTTTCTGCTGGCTTAAGAACATCCACTATATTGATACGTTTTTCATTATCTCTCGTGATCTTTACTTGTACACTAACTTGAACCACTCCTTGTCCTTCGATGCATTGAGCTGCTAAAGTTTTATCACTCTCCAACTATTATAATAGACATATATTATAAATTCGAAGCTAAGGAGATAAAAATAAATATAAATACACATATTTTATTTATTACCATCTGTGCATCTTGCAACCAAAACGAATATTCTGATAAATCAATTTGAAGTTTTGATTCTAACAAACTTCTTAATGTCGATAAAGGTTCTCTTATTTCCATGTGCTGCATTAGTATTGCCACTATATATTCCTCGTCATCATTTGTGGTTCCCTCTAATGAGAAACTGGGTTCAACCTCCAAATCTGAGCTATCTTGTTGCAGTTGTGTCATGATGTCATCATCCTGTGTCAACATTGCGTCTGGCTCCAGTTTTATGCGCTTTATCATCGCATAAGAATCCTCGTCAACGAAATTACTAAAATAGATTAAGTAAATGTGAATGTTTATCAAAGATAAGCTTTAACTTATGTTAGACAATGTTCAAGACAAAAGAAAAATCAAAATATCAAAATCTAACCTTTTACTAGTAACCCTACGGCAATTAACCGATTCCATAATAATTGAATATGTAAACAATCCACATTAACACTTTCACGCAGCTCTAAACAAAATTGTTGTACGCGTCAACAACATTTCGATCATTTCGCATAATCCACAATACACGAATAACCAGATAGACTTCAGACTTCAATTATTGGCTGAGCGCACTATAACTTAAGTGGCCCAACGCCATTGCTCTACGAATAACCAGATACAAGTGGTCTGTTCTTAGTGGTCTGTTCTTTTCAACTGCACTGCTGAACTGGTGCAATAAGTTAAAAGGTTCGTTCGAGTTTCTTGTACTTTTCACACTTTTATGGCTCCTGCACACAGGACGCGGTAATGCTTGCCGCGCGGCGGAAGTCCGCGCGACAGCCAATCAATATGTTGTTTTTCGTAAGAACTAGAAGGTTATTACGGAAAGCAACATATTGATTGGCTGTCGCGCAAACTTCCGCCGCGCGGCAAGCATTAGGACCGTGGCACACAGAAAAACTTAAGCAGTAAGACGTAAGCAGTAAGCAAATTGACCAGTCACAGTTGTTGATTCTTCTTACGTCCAAGAATCAACGACTGTGATTGGCTGATTCGCTTACTGTTTACGTCTTACCGCTTAAGTTTTCTACGTGCCACCAGCTTTAAAGCGTCTTCTACAATGGCAGTAGGAGTAGTAGTAAGAAATAAGCAGTAAGTAAATAGACCAATCACAATCGATTATTTTTGAAACGTGAGAATGGAATTGGTCAATTTGCTTACTGCTTATTTCTTACTACTACTCCTACTGCCATTGTAGAAGACGCTTTACCGTGTCCTGTGTGCAGAAGCCATAATGCCCGTTGCATACTCCAAACAACACAAATTTTTCAAAATACATGAAGACGTTTTCAGGACGGAGGGACGTCATCAGAATATTCTTAGGACGTCCTTTGAAAGTGTGAATTATCTGAAAATAGCTAATAAATTTATTTACATTAATTGAATTTTTTACATTTTCACTCTTAAGCCCATTCTACAATTGCGTGAACGTGGATGTAAGTGATTACGACAACCAATCAGAATAAAGGGACGTCTACATTGGAAGTAAATAGCAAGAAGTAGGAAGTAAGAGTAAGAAATTGACCAACCACAGTCGAATGTGAGAAGAATAATTAACTATGATTGGTCAATTTCTTATTCTTACTTCCTACTTCTTACTGTTTACTTCCAATGTAGACGTCCCTTAAAGCAATCAGTGAATAAAACATTCGGATTAGTTGACTCTAAAGAGACGTCTACATTGGAAGTAAACAGTAAGAAGTAGAAAGTAAGAATAAGAAATTGACCAATCATAGTTAATTATTCTTCTCACATTCGACTGTGGTTGGTCAATTTCTTACTCTTACTTCCTACTTCTTGCTATTTACTTCCAATGTAGACGTCCTTTAACACATAAGGAAATCAATCAATCAGAGTCATTCATTTCTATCCTGGAGAGGGAAATAAAGATTTCTGATTGGTTGATTCCCTTATGCGTTTGCGTTATGCAAAAGTTTGTGCTCAGGCCCTTATGCAAGATTCACATTGTGAACTACGTTCGATAAATGTATCGCGTATGATGCACTTCACTGTTACGAAATTACGATTGCAAATACGGTATAGTTGTGCGATTAACGGTATAAATTGATGTAAGTTCGTTGGTGAAAGGGCCACCGAGCTAAGCTGCAACCAGAAAGAGAGAGAGAGAGAGAACTTGATGTAAGTTCTGTGCTGACGACCATCATACTACACGTTTGTATAAATATTTCTTATCTTAATACTATGTCAATGATTTATATCAATACATATCTACATTCGTATAGGATAGTTATAGAGTGATAAGTTCATATGAATATAATTGATGAAAATAATGTAATGGGAAGTTGCAAATATCGACGTCCTATCGATAGTTAGGTTAAGTTAGGTTTAATTTTGAGTTGAGCCGAACACAGATGTTGCTTTGCAATCCTTTTTGCTCTGAAATTGAATTTTTATTCAAACATGTTTTCAGTCGAAGTTCACAAAATCGATTTTCGCCAAAACTAATTGGGCTGTGTGGAAAAATAAAGGAGATTACGACCATTAGCTTATGATCATTAGCTTAGTTACGAGTCGATATTTCGCGTGAAACGCGATATATTTTCACAGTAAGCAATAACTTGTTTGTGACGAAGAAGAAAGAAAAGTTATTAAAGATCACACAATAATAACTAAAACAATCTGAACATTTTGATTTGATAAATTTGAACAGTTTAATTTGATGGTAAGAGTCAATGTATTAGTTCAGCTGAATATCATCTCTTTATAATTGCTGGATATTATTATCCTCTTATTAAATAAATGTTAAACCAGTTTTCAATCTATATCTATCTCTAATCTGGTCTCTAATCTTTTGATTTTTACAGCATTTTTGATAAAACATTCTCAAAAGAAGATGGATCCTTTGGAAGGAGATAAGAAAGATATCTATAGAGATTCAAAGTTACCAGGTATAGGCCGTGGAAATATGACTTGGGTACAAACAGATAACGTGGGACTTAGGAGACCGCATATTACATCTAGCAATCAATCTCTAGGTTGGCTTTAACATTGTTTATATAACAATGTTTGTGTAACTTTTTCAATATGACTGATTTGAAAATAAAAAATTATTCACTTGTGTGTAGATTCTGTTGCTTCAAGGAGCACAGAATATGGATCGGAGCAAACTCCTGGAAGGAAACAATCTAAATTATCCGTAAATGCAGCTGTATTTATTCCAAAGGTAAACGAGATAGTACTATCTGTCTCTATATTTATATCATTATTATAAGTAATTAGTTAACTTGTAATTAATCTGCTGATAGTTTCCTAAGTCAGTACAAGACAGAATTGATGCAGCTCGTGCGGCACCACCTAATATAAACCCTGGACCTGGTCTGATAGAAGATAACACTTCTGATATATCTTTACAACAATGCTTAGACATACAGGAATCACAAGCAAACAGTTGTAACAATTTTAATACAAACTATGAGTATCAAAATTATTCTGATGGCAAGGTAAATATAATTTATATATATATATATATATATATATATATATATATATGTATATATATATATATATATGTATATGTATATATATATATATGTATATATATATATATATATATATATATATATATATATATATATAAAATTTCACTTAACATTGTATATATAATCTCACTTAATTTTGTGGAGTTGATACAAGGCATTCCTATAATATAAGAATGTTCCGAACAGGAACGGGAAGTAGACACGAATGTAAGCGATTTTAATCGTACAATATTTGAACTTGAAAGGATCATATGTACTATAACTAGGAGTCCTGGTGAATTCGATAATTTGGTTCCATCATTTGTAAACAATATTAGAAGAGAAGGCAACATATGTTATCTGCGAATATTTGTGACGAGCATCATTAATTGGGTATGTTTACTTTTAGTTAGATAAACTCAGCTATTCACGTTGTACAAGCTTTATGAAGATACACACCTGGATAGGTTTGTTCTTGTTACTTACGCTTTTCGCACTTAGAACAAGACAGACGTATATTTGAACACTGAAAAAAGCAAGAGCGAGGAAATCGAATGCGAAAAGTGCGAGCAGTACAAACAAACCAACTATACTCATCTTGTACAGAACTTTTTGTATATTATTTTACATTAAATTCTATACATCGCGTATTATTTCATTACTCTGTGTTTTCAGTCCATTGACGAAAGTAATTTTCGGTATAACGGAGCCCGATTTTGCACGTATTTCGATGACACTTCAGAGTCCGAGGAGCAATTATTATTTAGGGATATCTTACATTACTCGTGAGTCTAAATATACACAAAAAATGTACTTAAACATGCTATATAAAACTTGTGCGTCAACGATATTTTTTGGATATTAGGTGTCTATTAGAGACCCGTATGCAAGAGTTCGTGTGGCAGCGCGTGTCCGACGATAGCTATGACCAAAAGAAATGTCACGGATTGATATTATTTTTAGCCGAATTGGTTGCTCAGATGGACGAGACTTTTGCTTTCACCTTAGGAGGGCTTTTGATAGAGTTCATCACCAAAATACTAAAAAAACCCACGTCGAACATTGCTAAATATATATACCAAGCGCTCAAAGTAAGCTAAAGTATAACAATGACGATTTAAACGATCTTTGATTCCTACTACTATTACTTCTGACCTTTCGGCGTATCGCGTAGTTGGCAGGGCAGCGATTAGAAAAGGATAAGAGCAAGAGCGTAGAGCTCAAAAATATGATGCAAACGTTAACGGAGTTTGCAAATAGAGGACAACAAAACACGTCAGTAGGAAACACGGCACACAGGATGCAAGAGTCGCGAAATGAAAATTGGGGTAGAGACCCATCTCATTCTGATTCGTTCAGAACCAATTCTACACTATATCAAATGCAGCAAGTGTCGAATGAGCCAAGCGCGTCTAATTACGCACCTGCTTTTAATTCATCGAAAACGAGCACGGTAGTATCCCAATCGGACGATGCGTTGGTATACGGTCCCGATGGGCAGATTATACTCACAGAGGAAGAAAGCAAGTTTCTTCATGACCACATAGAACAGGAGTACGTGAAATTTCAGATATTCATATTTCAGATAAATAATTTGACACAATTGTTACTATAAATAAATTGTTTAGGAGTATACATTAATATGCTACTGTGTAATGTGTTACAGTGCACTCGACGATTATATAGATTACAATTACGACGATGAAATTGCAACCGCCTACGAGGAGTTCCTGAGAGACAAATCCAAGTAAAGCTCCTCCAGCAAGCAAAGCGAGACACGTCTAAACGAGATAATGTTAACACCTCGAGTCTCGCTATAAATACGTAATTATTCGCTTGAAGATTCTGCGTTTGCACACGGTCATCATAAATTGCCGGTCTGACGCGAATATCGTAGTTCTGATATGAGATCATATTGTGTGCAACGCGCGCGAAATAATTATATACACGATATTCTTTAGAACATAAAGAAGTATATGTACGTAGAAAGGATATATCGCTACCATAATACACATCACGCTCTGCTTCGTACGAAAAAATTGCACTATATAATCTTCCTTTCAATTCATCGAGTTCCGTCATATGTACAGAAAACATATGTTGATGTGTATGTGGGTAGTAGTAATACAAACGTGCGTATACATATATACATATATATATGTGTGTGTATATATATATGCTTCAAGTTTTAAATATATTTTTCGTTTATTTAAAATTATGTATACGCATTTTTACAAAGTTTCATAAATATATGACAATTCGCATATGATGTCGTTTTATACATCCGACCGAGCTTGGATTAAATAGTATATCTGTATAACATTCCGTTCTTCAATTACGGCTGCAGAACGTTTCGAATTCTGACAAGTCGTAAATAAGCGTTCGACTATTTTGCTCGTGAATTCGCGGACATGTCTTCGGCGCAAGAATGCGCTGCTCGAGCGAAAATGTCGAGCGTTTCGACGAACGAATTTTCGACAACAATCCCATAAATATGCGAATAACTTGGAGTTCCATCTCGCGGTTTGCAACATCGTGTCGCATGGTTTCAGACGAAAAACTGCGAAAAAATACGAGACATACGATCGCTAAGCAATACTTAACATAATAATGGGCTCGTTTACATAATGAACTCTTTTTTCTTCTCACGCGTCGTCTGCATAACGTCAGCGGCGTTTCTTTTTGCTCGAGCCGCATTCTTACCTTGCGCTGGACGCGTCGCGATTTTCCCTTGAAATTCGACAATGAAACACTATATTTGAGATATATGGCGCCCATAACGGAACGGCAAGATCCCTGCCGGATCTACTTCGACGTTGCAGTCCGATCGAGAGCGATTATCCCTGGAGAACCATGTTTGGCGCGAAAGGATACGCTCGTCGTGAGACTCCGCATGAGAAACTGCAGTATGTGGTTAGTCATACCTGTTTTGACCGATCGGCTCACATTGTCTCGTACACGCGGTGACCGAAGTGTTGTTGCAATGCCTGAAATGACTGCTAATCCCGACAGAGGATCCAGTCGCGGGTGTCTTTCACTCGTGACATTTAGACGTGACGTTCGTTAGAAAGATTCTCAGAATAATTCTGCGTTCGATAGTCAGGCCAAGAGAACGGCTGCGAATTAAGCGGAACCGAACGTGTATTTACTAATACACGTGGGCGTGGTACTCTATCAAGCACCTTGAAAAATAATCGGAATCGCGCGCTGCGTGGGCGAAATTCGAAGTGGGGCCGAAGGTCGCGGATGGTGGGGCCAGCCTCGTATCCTCGCTTTCGTCTTCATCATCTCCGCGGCCGCGGCTAACTCGGTTAGTCCTTTCCGCATCAGCACCGGGGACGAGCTCTCACGCGTCTGACAAGGTGAGTAAAGGCTAAGGCGGAGAATGAGACGTAAGCGCTTAAATCTGTCGTAGTCGTATTGAAGTATCGAAAACGTAAGTTGTGAAAGGCTAATGTGAATGCGGTTACGTTTACGGTTTTCTCTGTCTTGCTTTACGTCCACGACTACGACAGATTTAAGTGCTTACGCCTCGTTCTCTGTCTTAGCCCTAAGAGTCATTGCGACTTCTATCACGCGCGAATGCTCTGCGAAATTTCAAACTTTCGAGTCTCGAAGAATCTCGCGCGATAGCTCGTATTGTCGTTCACGATTCGAAAAAGAGCGCTCATTGATCGAAACATCCTTTTGTCATTATTACCGTCGTTAACTGTCGGCAGGTAGTTTGGAACGACGACAAGATGTTTTTTCCTACGCAAGCCGCAGTCTTGCTCCTGTCTCTGTTTGCCGTGTTGGTCAACGGCAGTCAGTACTTCCAATCGCGTGTAGTCACGTCTAGTAAGTACTCGTATCATGCGAAAATAAGCGAGCTGAGCTCGAGTTGGTTGTTCGGAACATGACTGTTGAATCATCGGCATCCCCGTGTGCAGGCAGCTGCGACAGCTACACATGCGGAACCAACGCGAGATGCACCATAAGCGAAGGACGACCGGTCTGCTCGTGCCTGAATCTACATATGGGAGACCCACTTGCGCACTGTATACGAGTCGAATGTTTAAGTGAGCAATTTCCCATACACGCTTCTCGAAGAAAAGATATCATATTTTTTTCAAATGTCTTTTGGATGTTTTTTTAAACGTCTTTTAGACATCTTTGAGATGTTTCTTGAAAGTTCATCTTAATTCAAGTCAAACTGATCTGAACGTAGTCGCAAGTCGTAGTCGAAGAGTAATCGTCTCCTTGCAAATTTGAACGGTGTGTCTGTTTCAGTCAACGACGATTGTCCATATAGTAAAGTGTGCACGGATAACAGATGCATCGATCCCTGCATCGGTCTGTGCGGCGCCAACGCGAACTGTAACACCAGGAACCATGTAGGCACCTGCGTATGCCTACCAGGACACGTCGGCGATCCGTTCACGGGCTGCCACGTCGCGGATCCTCGTATGTAAAACATGAAATGACAAATTTCGTAAAATTTTGCTAAAATCTTTGCTAAAATTTGTCTATATTTTAAGTGAGATTTCGCCCCAGGAATTTTAGACAATGTCGAATATTTCTCCAATATATCTCTGATCCTAAGCTTTAGCAAATTTGCAATTTATTCTTATGCAATTTTGTCTCGAGCAGCGTAATTCTGAACTAGAAAAATTCAAACAACTTCTCACCGATGATATTCAATCGCGATGTAGAAGCTGCCTGCAAGCCGAGCCCATGCGGGCAGAACACCCAGTGCGAGGTGATCAACGAAGTACCGGTCTGCACTTGTCTACCGGGTTACAGAGGCTCGCCTTTGGCTGGCTGTCGTCACGAGTGCGAGAGCGACAGCGAGTGCCCTCATCACCTTTCGTGCTCGTCGTCATTCAGATGCGAAAACCCCTGCAAGTGTGGCGAGAACGCGGAATGCGAAGTCATCAATCACCAAGGCAGGTGCACCTGTCCGAAGGTGAGCGAAAAATCATGTTCTCCCTTCCTCCTCCTCGTAGGAAAAGAGGATGTCTTATCCTTCAGTGATAGAGTTATAGAGGTCTGACGTAATGGGCCGATGACAGAAGCCCGAGTCGAGTACGAAACCTGTTCTTCTATTTCAGACGTGGCTGGGAAATCCGTACGTCTCGTGCCGACCGGAGTGCACCGCCCACTCCGAGTGCCCGACGGGCAAGCCCGCCTGTCTCTATCAGAAGTGCGTGAATCCATGCGACGGCGTTTGTGGAGTGAACGCCGACTGCCACCTACGCAGCATCACCCCCGTTTGCAGTTGCCCAAAGCACATGACTGGCAATCCTTTTGTGAGCTGCAGACCGTTTGAGCCACGTAAGCATCAGATCACCTATTATTCTTTTTGAGCAGGAAATGGAAGAAGCTATCCCGATAAACAGATGTTAGCAATAGCTAACCCGATAGCATCCCGATAAAAGAAGTTAGAATAGATAATTGAAAAAAGCTATAATATTCTCTCCATGCGGATCTTTATGTATTCTTGCTAATAAACTGCAGAAAAATCTGTAGCAAACGTAAGATCTGTTTCCGCAAGTCTTGCTATTTAGAAATTATTACCATCCCAATGCTCGGTTTTCCGATCGCACTACAGAAACGTCGTTTCTCACTTTCAGGTGATCTCTGCGAGCCGAATCCCTGCGGCTCGAATGCGATCTGCACGCCGGGTCACGACAACACCGGCAAGGAGAGGCCGGTGTGCACGTGTCCCACCGGCTACATCGGTAACGCTTTGACAAGCTGCCAGCGCGGGGAGTGCTTCACTGACAGCGAGTGTCCCGACAATCGGGCGTGCATCGACTTCACGTGCAAGAATCCGTGCACTGGTCGTGAATGCGGCTCGACCGCCACGTGTACGGCCCGACGTCATATCGCGGTCTGCACGTGTCCGGACGGGACCAGGGGCGACGCTCTGTACACCTGCAACCCCATCGAGAGCAAGTCCGTGTACAATTACGGCCGTGCCTACCGTTACCGCTACTAGTCACAAAAGGCGAACTGCGCTTTTAAACGCTCTTTGCAAAACCGTCTAATTTATTCTAATTTAATGTGCATCTTGTACGCGCATCTTAATTCATTGTCATTCAATGCTCGCGCGGAAAATCAGAGCGGAAGGAGATGATCGAGAACGGAGGATTTATCGAAGGACACGTCGTTCGGTCAAGTCTTGTTAAGGCTCATGCTACTTCGCCTCGACCTTCTTCGTTACTGACGCGTCAGAAGCGAGGAAATATATACTCAACATTCTTGCAAAATAAAAGATATGATAAATGATACTTGTGCAGTCAATTAAGAAAAAATTTGTAAAATGTTGGAAATATATTCCCTTTGACCCTTAAAGGGAAATATATTTTCCCCCTACTGACCCCTTCGACTGAAGTAGTCAGTCAAATTAGAGGCGAGGAAGCAAGAGCCTCGATTCTTTGGGATTCGCCTACTTCTCGCCGAAATCGTAATAAACAGAGCAACCTTACCTTCGTAATGCTATACTAGTCTTCTAATCCTCGCGTTTTGAAAACATCACGGATCTCACATGTACGTTCTGTTTTTGGGCTACAACCAGCCGTTTATGGATCTCGTTTATATTCACGATAATGATAATAATAGACACGCGATGACGAGATTTATACTGCCGAGATTTTATACTCGCTCTACAATCGCACTTCTCCAGCCTGTCCTTGTCCGTCCCACATGCGACATTCGCGTATAACGTGTAGTGCACTAATTGTTGAGAGGGAGAGAAGAGATATCCTTGTACATCTAAACAATAATTTTTATTGAATAATTCAACATTATGTCCACTTGGTAAATGGAGTGCGGGTCGTTATAAAACTAGTTGAGAAATTTAGGAAAACATTACTTACTAGTGTACTATTAAAAAATAAATAATCGCGATTTTTTTTACATATTACACGTTACACGACGCTAAGAATCCAATAATTACGCTATTACTCGTTATTATAAGTATTGGCAGCACCGTTATTTGCAAAGTTCGTTAATTTCGAAATAGTCATATATCGTCCGCTTCGGTATGTTCGACTATAATTGAATTTTTTTTTTTTCTATAAATCTTCTTTCTTACAAATACGTTAAGGACACAGGCATTGTGTTACTCTTCGTTCTTCCTGTAACTATAACAATATATTAACACAGTATATTATTTCATTAGTCTCTTAGTTTTTTTTTTATTTCATACTGTTTGCGCATATTGTTCCTCTCATTCAATCACGTGACTAAGATTATATAATCTCGCGTCGATACAAAATAAAAATTATATAAAAAGAAAACATTTTTTTCAGTCTGCTGGATGAACAATTAAGCTACTTATGCCTCTATGCAGGCAATGATTAATTTACAAGACACGAACGAACAGAAACGATCGAAATAAATAAAGGGGGAAGAGAAAGAAAGAAAGAAAGGAAATATGGGGAATGGAATATTGTCTAACTACGCGATTAATTATGCGCCGCTCTTTTGCCGTTCATGTAACCAATCCACCTCTCCGCGGTCGTGATGAAAATAGGATCGTTGTCGATAGAATGGAGAAGAAGTAGTTGATTGATGTGAGTAGAATGGTAATCCCACCTGGCTAAATTTGGTGCCGTTTTTAGCGTAAAATGACGTAAATCGTACGTCGTACCAGAGCCAGTGTCAAACAACGTTAACATATTCTTTAACGACGTCATACCCTGATTGAAGAGTCTGGACGCTTCCTCCGCGTCCTTACCCATCGCTATACTCTTTAGATCATAGAGGCCAATGAGTGAATAAATAAAACCGTTGAGTATGAAAGAGGAGGGTGTCGTGGGATACTCCTCATACCAAATGTATTTGCCTAAGAATAATGCAGCCACACCTCCTTTGGCAGAGGACAATCTGAAAGGCCGCAAGCCTCTGATGGCAGCCTGCAGGTATTTCGCCTCTCCGGAATGGTAATACGCGCGCGCCAACACCGATATCGCGTGACCCTGACCCATGCTGGAGTACCTGCAAACAATTTGTTCCATGTAAAACTAGCTCCACCATTACTATATACATATGTATAAAGATATACTGCAGTAATTCATACCATCCAGGCTCGAGAATAGCCATTCCAGACGCCACTTTCCTCCTGACGGGATTCGGCCAACCTCCGGAGGTGACATTCTGATTAGCGACGAACCACCTCGCCGCGTCGTAAAATTGCTCCATGTGTTCGCTAGTTGATAATGTCATATTGTCGATCATACCGGAACCGTACAGAGTAATCTGAACTATCTATCATATAAAATTTACAATTTATTCCCAAACTATTAAGAGTATTCCTTCTTGGGCAAAGAAGAGATCAGTGAGTGCTTTCCATTTAGTAGCACAAGTCGATATAAACATCATTCTTATTTTTGTTACTCACTGAATACGCACAAAGATGATATTTGTGTCGACTTGTTTTACCAAATGGAAAACATCCAATAATAAAGTGATATTGTTATAGCACGCGCCATTTGACCTTTATTACCTTTAGTTTGGAGCGGGGTATTTTCTTCCTACTCTTGTCGTTCAAATAAAGACCTTTTTGTAGATCAACTACGAGATCTCTAGTGAGGCGTCTCCACTGGTGATTAATTTGCCCAATTCCATAATACACGTGATTATCATGATTATACAATACTGTATTACTGGTAGCGTAGTAGTAAAGATAATACATTTCCTTTTTCTCTCTTGACTGCAGCATAACCACGACACTGCCATTATTCTTCACATTGAAATCCCACTTCAAAACAAAGTCCAGAACGTGATCCAGACTCAAAGAGATCCCGGACATGCTGGTCTGCGGCGTTGCAAATTTCAAGACGTGACTGTTCGCCTGCGAGTCGTACACTCTATCCAAGAGCGAGCCCTGAGAAACATTCCAGTTCTGCTTGATCTTATCGGCATCCTCGATTATCTTTCTATGCGGTTCCGGCTCTGTTAGGTTTTTACTATAATGCGATAATCCAAATTGAGCAATTTGCGTGGGGTAATAATATCCTTGGCTCTCCCATTGCGTCGAGATCGGAACGCCGTCGGCGCCGCTGATACACTTAACTCTGTCCCTGACTTCGACATTGTAATTCTCGAAAGTCATAAATACACCTCGGGAATCATACTTTCCCTTAGGACTTACGATTTTCGAATAACTATGCAACCATTCGAATCTCTCTAGGCCGTCGTAAGTAGCTAATTTTCCATAAATCTACAACATTATATCGAATTGTTATAATGCGTGTATTTAGTAATAATATAATTTAAAGCTGAGCTCAATCAGATACCAACTTCAAAGTATTTGTGGATGAATGAAAATGGTATATATACTTCATCACCCTCCTTGCGACATCCTATTGAGTAATCGCCATTGATGTGGCAATCTATCTCTTGATATCCTGATTCCGTGCTCAAACGATCCTGTATTAAGATATATGATATTTTAGAAATGTGTTATCGCATATCAATGATAAAGAATACCAAAAAATAAGAAATATTTTAGTAAGGCTTTAAGAATAAAATCTAAAAGTAACTAATATTAGATCTATGACAGCCAAAACTAGTTGGTTTGTTTGACAAATAAATCAACAATAGAAAATCTATATATGACCCATATAATTGTATTAGATAATGTTTAGACAATGTGTAACCAAAACACCTAATACAGTTATATAGATCATATATAGATCATATATGGCTCTTATAGTAGTATTAGTTACTTAAAAAATACCAAGATGAATCTCTTTAATCTTACCTTATGTTGATACTTTGTTCTCCAGTCTGAGGCATGAAATAATAAACTGCCTCCACAATTATTCCATGATGTAAGTAAAGAGCTCAACGTAGCGACAATCAATACAAATAAGATTGTCTTGAAATTCAGTCGCATCATCATATATAACCTATCGATACCAAACATCTCTTCGTAGACATATGCATTGCAATATACTAATATCTGCAGCATATAACAGCAGCTGTCATGTGCTTGGTAAACTACATGTTAGATTAACATGTAGTTATTAAAGCCAGTTGTAAATTTATTACAATTGAACGTCACAACTTTTTTATCATTTTACAATATTATATCAAGTGGTGTCTCAACAGTGTTGTCCCGGCGATTTCTCAGAATCCATTTTTAGTGCCGATAATCCATAACATTGTAGCATCAATAAAAATTCACTTGTTCACAATCCAGAGTACTTGTATCTTTCTGTTGAATGTATGCAAACAAATTGCGACTTTTTCGAAAGATACCGTTCAGAGGTGAAAAATTTAGTCACTTTCAGTAGACTTTTAAGATGCAACACACGGTGCATTAAAACAATTTTTCACGATCGTCACAATATGCTGAGTTATTGTAAAATTATAATCAACGGTTATTGGTCGCATTCCTCACTAGCAAACAGCTCTGAAACTGATTATAATCACTTATATAATAAAATGCGTAGCAGAGAGAGAAGAGAAATATTATTCTCGATATATTGACGATATGTTATAAATATACTGTTGTGTCCCTAGCCTAAAATTTTTCGACTGGTTTCACTGAATTTATTGCATTGTATGATTTAATTTATGCGTATAATCGAGACTTACATATATATTTTTAAAGATTACTTTAATCTCGTCATACCCAATAATAAAAAAAAATTGATTCAGCCATTACCGGCAAACTATTGAGTGATAGAGTTTGATGAGTGTCAGTTGCATAGGGTGTGTGTGTGTGTGTGTATGATATTGCGTTGGTGTGCACATAATATATATATATATATATATATATATATATATATATACTCATTCTTATTATTCAAAAAGTCTGTTCGTTGTAGCTGCACTGGGATTGCACTTGAACTGGACAGTAGACCTGTGGTCTGTTCTTTTCAGCTGCACTGCTGAACTGGTGCAATAAGTTAAAGTGAGACAAGTATATTTTTTCTCATTCTAATGGCTCCTACACACAGGAGGGAGCGGTGCACTTGGACACGGTGTATTTGGACACAGCCAATCACAGCACCGTGTGATTAGAGACAATTGTAGGGTCCCTTTGAACAGCGACTTGTGATTGGACTGTGTCCAATTGCCCCGTGTCCAACTGATATACACCCCACACAGGATGCGGTAATGCTTGCCACGTGGCGGAAATTCGCGCGACAGCCAATCAATATGCTGCTTTCAGTAATAACCTTCTAGCTCTTACGGAAAAACAACATATTGACTGGCTGTCGCGCGGACTTCCGCCGCGCGGCAAGCATTACCGCGTCCTGTGTGCAGGATCCATAACTTATTGCACCAGTTTAGCAGTGTAGCTGAAAAAAACAGACCACTGTTCTTTTTCGCTGCACTGCTGAACTGCACATATATGTAGACACATATATGTTTTCTCACTTTAACTTATTGCACTAGGCAATAGTGCAGCGAAAAAGAACAGGGTCAGTGTAAAGCCAGCGGCATACGTGCTTGTTCATGCTGGATTGCTTGCTGATTGGTGCATTTCTGAAGATGGATGGAAATACACCAATCAAAACAGAGTATCTCCATCCAGCAAGCAATCCAGCACGAAAACAAGCACCGTGTGTCGCTGGCTTAATAGCTCCTGCACACAGGACGCGGTAATGCTTGCCGCGCGGTGGAAGTCCGCGCGAAAGCCAATCCATATGTTGTTTTTCCGTAAGAGCTAGAAGGAGTTATAAACTTTTTTCCCGGGTAGTTTCCTATAGAATACGAAATCGTTTATAACCAGATAAAAACGATAAAATACGATAGGATTTATATTTGAACTTGGTTACGCGACATTATGCCGAAAACTAGATGGGGAATACGTTGGTACCAACGAAAACCCCTAGGTAGCAGAACATCAAAATCTGTAAATTGCCAACACTATTGAAATTGTAAATCTCTATGAGTTCGCGGATAAGAAATGGCGTAGGGACACTAAAGTAAGGGTTGTGTTCCGTTTCACACATTATGCGCGCATTCCCTATAATATATGTGACGTGAATTGTAGATAAATGCGCGCATATACATGAAACGGAACACGGCCTAGGTGCTCCCAGCCACATATTGAAGTCTTGAATGAGTTCGCGGAGTCTTTTGACATATACGTGTGTACATATATATAAAATAATAAACAGTGTAGAACGAAAGTACACAGCATAAAATTGAAAAATAAGTAAATAAATGAAAATAACACGAATAAATAAAAATAAAGTGCATAGAAAAGAATAAGGTGAAAAATATAAGAAGATCCTCTTATATTTTTGTGTATACGTAATTTTCATTGCGCAGCTATTTTATAGTATGATTAAACCTGCGTAGTAAAACTTACGTATACGCAACTATTTCAAGAATAGGGGCCCAGAGGCCCGATTCTTGACGAATGAGATACGCATGCGAAAATCTCCAGTATACGTAACGTGAACTATACATTGGCTTGGTTTACATCGTGCACGTGATACGCGTATTAAATAGTAACTTTCTATTAGATAATCTTAATATTAACGATATATATAAACAATGGTATATTAAGCTCATCAATATATAATACTCATCAAGAAAACGTATTGTATTGATTGAATGCGTTGCCGTTGATATGCATTGTCAATATTAAAATTATCTAATAGAAAGTTATTATTTAGCAGAGCTACTTACATTTAAATATGGAAGCGAACAAACAAGGGCTGTTTACGATAATTCGAGTTGGAGTAAGTACGAGTTAGTTTCACCAGAGCCGAGAAATATGATAGATACAACATCTAATATTTTCATGATTTATGACAACTCAATGCTGTCCGATAAATCGAGTAGAGTAGAGTTAGGGTAGTATAGCGGATAGTATATGAATTAACAGTATCAGGTAACATAGTTTCGTAAAATATATAACAATAATATTACGAATCAATGAGTTGTTACATTTTAGAAAAATTAGAAGCACTAAATTAAATTATGAAAAGATATCATGTATTTGTAAAATATTCAAAAGTAGAAAACAATTATTCTAACCTATTATTAATCTGTTATTATTGAATATTTTACAAATACATGATATCTTTTCATAATTTAATTTAGTGCTTCTAATTTTTCTAAAATGTAACAACTCATTGATTCGTAATATTATTGTTATATATTTTACGAAACTATGTTACCTGATATTGTTAATTCTTATACATATACTATCCACTATGTTATCCTAACTCTACTCGATTTATCGGACAGCATTGAGTTGTCATGAATCATGAAAATACTAGATGCTTGTGCCTATCATATTTTTCGACTCTAGTGAAACTAACTCGTACTAACTCCAACTCGAATTATCGTAAACACCCAAGAACAGACAGATAAAGTTGACGCTATAAACCTATATATGCAGAGCTCGACACTGATTGGTTGTCGCAACATCGCAGAGGCGCAAACTTTGGACTTTTGCAAACCTTGCGATTACTGCTTGCGACTAGCTTACAACCGGAAATAGTGCTGCTTGCGATCATGCGATCATTAGTTGACTGCTTGCAACTAATGTAGAACGACCTCAAAGCGCTTCAAAGCGTTTGCAGTGTTTAATGGATCGTATTCTTGGCTATGTATATATATATTATATTGTAGCTATACGACACTTGTCAGTTTCTTGTATGACAAGCGCATGCGTAATTTTTTAGTTTTTAAAGCTCCTCACACGTGTGTGCTTACATGAATTTTATATATATACATGTTGTTTTGCATCTACAATGAGCTACAAAGACAATTTTAACGTTTTCGTGGGTGGTAAATCAGGTATTTTCAAAGGTAATTACAAATACTCATTTTGAAATCATTGTCGTAAGTTACATTGTTATATAGGTTATATAGAAGCTAAAATAAAGTCAAATAATAATACATCTGTTACAGGAATAAAAATTGAAAAAAAAGCAAATATAATTAAGAATATACAGGACTTAGTTTCTATCACGGAGAGTGATCAAGTGACTACTGTCTCCTGGGGTGATGATGATGAGAAAGATATTTTAATTGCATGTGGTGTAAAGGGAAACAGAAGGTGATACAAAATCAAGAATTTTTATAGTAAAAGGAATGTTCAATTTTTTTCATTTCCCTATAAAATAAAATATACAGGGAAATATAACTATTTAACAAAATTATTCATTATAAAATTTCCTAACTGAAACATTTTGATTTGATCAAATTTTTTTGTTACAGAGTAAAAATCTATGACTCTGAGAGTTCTAGATTTACATGTTCATTTCTTTGTAACACAGGCAAAGGCAGTATTAATGGAATATCACAATATGATGGGTAAAGTTATTTTGTACTTTATACTAAATGTAATGTACTTTAAGTACTATGTATTATGTACTAAGTATAATGTATTTTATACAAAAATATGTGTGTATATATATATATATATATATATATATATATATATATATATATATATCAATGTACACTGATATTATTTCATAATACAGTCTGATTTTACCTCTTAGGTCAATTCTGACAGCAGTCAACTCTGGTGAAGTGACTCTGTGGCGATTAGACAGAGAAGAGGAATTATTAATAAATGCTGGAGAAAATTTGGACAGAATGTGTCACTCTCGCGTGCAACGAAATGTAATAGCCACTGGAGGACGGGAACATATACTCAAATTGTATGACTTGGAAAAGCAAGCGTTGATATTCAATGAAAAAAATCTTCGGCATGATTGGTTAGAACTGAGGGTACCTATTTGGATATCCGATATGAATTTTCTGCCAGAAACCCAACAGATTGCCACAGTAGGCAGATACGGACATGTAAGAATCAGAGTGATTTATACAAAAGCTACTGTCATATGGTATCTCTTTTTATAATAGTAAAAATATATTTTTTACACAAAAATATTTAATAATTCCACAAAGGTACGCCTGTACGACCCACGTGCGCAGAGGCGCCCTGTAATAAATATAACGCATCAAGATGAAGCTTTCACCTGTATGTGCGTTACTCTAAAAGAAAAGTAAGAGCAAGAAATTTATATATTTTATTAAATATCTTGTCTATGTAAATTAATTGAACTTATCTTGCAGACACATTATAGTAGGCTCTGGCAAAGGTAATTTGAATCTCGTCGATCTCAGAAAACCAGGCAAAATATTAAACACATACAAAGGATTCGTCGGTGGAGTAACCGGGGTGGCTTGTAGTATGAGTAATCCATATATCGCAAGCGTCAGCTTGGATAGATATTTGCGGATACATCATATCGATACAAAAGAACTTCTAAAAAATGTAATTTCCAACGTGCGTTTTAATAGAATATGTGAAACTTGTAATTATTATCGCATTTTATATTGCAGATTTACCTAACATCGAGACTGACGTGTCTGGCAATGAGGTCGGATTTCTCTATAGAAACAAACACTGAAAATAATCAAAAAGTCATAACGGAATCCAGTTGTGACAATGGCGGTAGCGTTGGCGAACAATCCTCAGATGATGTGGCTAGCGAAGCGGAATATGACGAATTATTTAACAAAATGCAAGTAGTGGGTAATAAGAGTGAAAAAGTCGGTAAAAAGCGGAAACTTGTCAAGTCAGCAAAGAAAGTCTCGTCGAATGATCGTGATATCGTAAGTACTCGACAACAATCTTAATTTACAAACGTACTATAGTTGCACTTGCATCTAATAATACCTTGTGTCGCGTTTATGTAACTCTTCTTTTTCCTTTTCTCCACGCAGGTATCTCAAAATCCGATGCAAAAGAGGAAAAAGAAAGATCAAGCATGGCTTTGCAAAGAGATAGAATAATAATTAAGATAATAGATTTCAATTACAATTTATGAATTTGCTAATGTTACTTCTTACGAATAAACATATGTTATATATAGTTTTTTTAAAACGTATATTATGAATTCGCAGCAGTTCCTTATGGACTTCTTCGTATTTCTTCCGCTATGTTTAACCCCTTGACTGTGGAGACAGAAATGGACTAGTGCCATGCTTTTGTGTTGGAAAAAAATGTCGAATTTTCTTTATGACATTATTATAAAGGTTTTTGGGATCACTCAATTCGAATTTGACATCAAAATTTCGAAAATCAAAATGGCGGATCCAATATGGCGGGTCAAAATTTTGAAAATAATCGGATTTTTATGAAAGTCGGTATTTATATATTTTTGAGATCACTGAATTCAAATTTAATATCAAAATTTCAAAATCCAAAATGGCGGATCTAAATTTTGAAAATAATCGGATTTTCATGAAAGTGGGTGTTCAGACATTTCGTCTGAACAAAAAAAAAAAACAAAAAAATTTTTAAATTATAAAAAAAAAATATATAAAAATGAAGTCAAAAACCGCTACGTCCTTGTTTCATAACTTCGGGTTCGGCAGACAGCAGTATTATGTAAATGTTATTTTTACTTAAAAATTTTTTAATCCACTATTTGGAATTTTGAAATTTTGATATAAAATTCGAATTCAACGACCCCAAAAACATATAGATACTCACTTATATGCAAAGAACAATAGTTTTACTATTTTTTTTTCTTCAATGTGTGTATACACGTCATCCATACTGGTGGCACGACTTTTTCACGCGCGTATACATGTCATTCACAGTCAAAGGGTTAAGTTGTTAATTTTTATATTAGCAAATCATACACACCCACAGATACTCTATCCTCTCTCTCTTCCAACATACACGCTCTAATTTTCATTTGTATAATTGTATAAATATCATAATTAAGTCTATCACACAACTCTGAAAAAAAAATTTGAGATAGAAGAGGAACAATCTAAGCACATACGCAGCTGCAAAGTAAGAAACGTTTTGCCGCAAAGTAAAATTTCATCAGCAAGTTGCATCACTCGGCGACTCGTCTAGGTTTGAACTCACAAAGGATAACAAGGGGTCGTACAAGGGAGAAGGACGTTGCACGCTCGCTCGGTTCATCGGTGGGTGGCGCACTGGCGAAGCAACTACGTACAATTAACCATGATTAGGTTGATCATTTATTGTACAGTTTATTTATCATTAATATCTCATCGATAGCTTGTATCTTGGTTCGTAGATGCAGCGCGCACCAAGTTCGATCGTCTAATTCCTGTCGACTCGCCTCTAATTATTATGTCGAACGAAGAAAAGCTAAGTATCTTGCTCCGACAATTTCTACTGTGTGCTCTCAACAACAAGTAACAAGTCATATCGAAGCCAAGTGCGCGGCCATTGGTTGTACGCGCTGCTGCATATAGGCTATAATGTGTAATCCTTTAGCGTCTTTAAGAAGTATAGAAGGTGTGTGTATAACGTGACAACTCCGCAAGGTTGCAACGCGTTTTGTACTAAAAAACCAAAACGAAGAAGAAAACGAAACGATGCTCTGCGGCTCTCTACGGCACATTAAATAGTATTTCTCAGCTGTACAAAAATCTTTGTCCACTACGCTCCTCCTCTCGTCGTCGTCGATTTAATACTAATGTTTAGCTTCGTCTTATCTCGCGACTGCACTTACATCTCAAATAGAATATTTACGCGTATCCCTCGAACGTATCTAAGGAATACATATTTCACTACATTTACAGGCACTATCCCCTTCGAAATCGAGTAACTACCATCACCCGCGTTTTCTACATGAAACAAAAAAAAGGAAGGGCAAGAGTAAAGCTCCGCATGTGAAACGTGGAATTGTGTGTCCTCGAACTCAAAGGATCGTTCGTGTAATGCGAAATCAAATTTCTCCGAGAACTACTGGCGACTCGTCCTCGACGACTCGATTGCACGTGAATCAAGAGTCGCTTCGAAGAGGTGTCCTTTCGCTTCACGAATTGCAATCGATGCAATCAGTAGATCGACCTGGCGCGGATATGTAGCGATATCTCTCTCTGTCTCTGCTAGGAATGCTTCTCTCGATTCGTCTCGGAGAGCGCTTTTGGTGCAAAACGATATCTCATAGAAATCGCGGCGAATATATTCCTGTTTGTATTCTTTATAATTCGCATTCTTTCTCACGATATATGACACAAGTAATAATTACAATTGGATCTCTACAATAGTACACGGTTTCGTTTACTGTCCGCTTACACGGCGACTGTGTAACGGTTCGCCTTCTTTATTTGTTTATAGAGGACGACAATTCGACACGCATGCCAATAAAAAGTATAAAATCAACGATACATACATATCGCTGGAGAGAATAAACCAATCGATCGGAGAATGTGTCCTCGACATAAGTCATAAGAGAGACATATTCTTAAGCAAAATTGTCCATTATAATTACAAAAATTTGTCTCACGATAATTTAAATGATACATCAGTCGTATCGTCAGTAACGATTATACAATACATAGAATTTGGTCAAATATCACATCAAAATTCGAGTATTTTTATATACTTCCATTTTGTCGTTTTTTTTAATTAATTGTTATCAATAGACGCGCAAGTAGTATCACATGACAAGAATTTTGCGTATCATTTTTAAACGTATAATCCAATCTTATCTTTTTCTTCTTTATAAATACTCAAGAGAAGTATAATAGCACTGATGATACCGACAGAATTATTCTAGTGGTTCAATTTAGGGAATGAAGAAAAGAAAATCTTCTTCACGCATCTCTCTGCTGTTTCGTTTGCATTCCGTCAATATTCGACTTTTCTATTTTACATTTCACAGATTTCATGATATACGATTTCGATACAAGAGATAAAAGGGAGATTTGTAATTTTCATACAGAACAATAGTCCTAACTTCCGACATTTGCATCGACTTCAACGGTACATCAAAAGTGAAATCTTCCAAAGAAAAAAAAAAAAGAAACAATTTCCGAGATTGTCTCTCTGCTTTTAACAATAGTATACATTAACAATATATAATTTTGTTTCTATATAAGTCCGCTGAAATTATATTTGAGAACTTAGGAGCACCTTATTTACTTGTAAGTATGAAATATAATTAAAATGACCTGTGTATCATGCAACTATGCATCAGTAATTAATAGTTAGATCTCTCTCTCTCTCTCTCTCTCTCTCTCTCTCTCTCTCTCTCTCTCTCTCTCT